ATTCCTGCTGCAGCCGGACCGCTGCTGTGCCGGTCGGTTGGTGGTCGTCCGCGCTTATTGTACATAGGTACCTATAATATCGATTATTTCGTACGCACAACGAATTCGGGGGTTGGGTAACAGTAGAACGCGCACAAAATACTATCGTGTCGTATAGGTACTGTACTGCGTAATGATGTGTGCGGAGGACTACTAGGTATAGACACGATACACACACATCATGTACTTACGTGTAATTTAATATTATACATACAACTCTACATGCACATATAAAATTATATATTACTGTTAAAACAATACGCGTACATAAACATATCACAGTAATAATAATAATAATATTATTATTATTATTATTATTATTATTATTATCATTATTTTGTATAGACACGTGTCGATGGTCCCCGGAAGGGATGGCATTTGATCGCGGCCAAAGGTTTTGTAGAAACAATGGGCATTCGGACGGACGCATACATACACACATACACACACACACACACACACGCATATATGGATATTTATATACATATATATATGTCCAGTACAAAAGCGGAACAGACGCGAGTGCAGCGGGGAAACAACGATATTAGATTAAAACACTGGGCCGATAATACTCTGCAGCGGTGGCGATGGTGACGGCCCGTGATGAGCTCGCCACTATATAATTATAATAATAATAATAATATGTATAACGTGTATATATATATGCACATAGACTGGTGCTACTGCCGCCACGTCTGTGATATCTAGATTTGTGGGCATTATTGTGTGCGGAGATTTTGCTAATTATTACGCGTCAATGTATATGTGTGCGAGTCTGCGTGTATACTGGACCGGCTTTACCAAAAACGTCTGCGTGTGTGTTACTATTGTTATTGTTATTGTTATTCCTTCGGAACAATGGACCCGAAATCCCGGCCACCCAAAAACAATACGAAAAGCCGCTCTACTATATAGTCGTTAATGCCGCGTAATTAACCGCGATATATAATCCTATCGCCACCAACACCGCCAACCACCGCAGCTGATTAGTATTATTATTATCATCGTTATACCTATATTATAAATATGACGTGCGAGTTTACACATCACGCCGTCCGCATGTACGGGGCTGTGTCTGTTTTGATCGACAAAAATATAATAATATCGTAGGCACTAACACTATCGCCGCGTGTCTGGAATATACTAGCATTACGTGCGCATAGGTGACGCCGCCGCGAACCGTTAACCGTATATTGATTAAACTATATGGCGTTTCGATAACCTGTCGTTGAATGTTGGCTGCCGATTTTTAATTTTTTTAATTCATAGTTTGCGTCCCTGATGAAAATTGCCACCCGTTTAACGCATCAGAGTCGGTATTTCGGATTATTTGGACTTAACGCCACACGGACAGCGACGGTTATACGGACGTATGTGCAGGGTATACGATAAGGTATAATTCGAACACGATTTAATAATAACATAATATTATTGTCGTGTGTGTACTAGGGGATCATTATTTTTATTATAATATACGATCGTTAATTTTCCAATTTTTTATTATTTTTTTTTTTTTGTGTTTTGTATCGTAGAAAATAATACAGCAATCCATACCAATCAAGGCGACATCGAACCTCCAGATTTAACCTGAATCCATTTTTTAATACGACGATACGCTACGATCTATACATATTATGGCTACAGAGCACACTGCAACGGTGATCCGCCACGGTTGAGGGGAAACCGGCGCATCATTTCGCTTTTAAAGCTTATCGTTATTGACAAAGTTTTTTTTTCCTACACGTAACGATTGCGCTGGGTTTTTACTCCAGCAGAATGTGCTTTTTTTAACCCACCAGAGTGTTGTTTGCGAGAAATTCGAATAAAAATGTAATTTAATGTTTGACGTTTTAGCGACATTGTTTCCCGGTTCTCCTCATCTTCCCACCATTCCCAACCACCGACCATCGAACACACCTTATACACACAACCGCTGGCGCACGACAACACTATAAAAATTTTGCATCGTTAGTGTACGTCGTTTACCATCACCACCGCCGCCCTCTCACGCTTAAAGAGAAATTGGCGTAATGGAAGTCGCATCTGGCAACCCCTTAAGACATACCGCACACGCATACATATAGAGCAAGAAGCGTCGTCGTGTACATCATAAAGAAATGACTACCACGGTGACGAGGGGTGTGAACGAAAAATAAAAAAATCGTTCGTTCAATTCTCGTATATTATTCGATTCTCGAAGCTCTTCTCTCATTATGGTACCGCACACTATGTACAGAGGAGTGACGGGTGGGCGTGTGAGACGTGAAAGTCGTTTTTCATATATATATTATTATTTTTTTCCCGTTTTCCCCTCCAACGTGACTCTCTCACCGTCCGCGTAACTCGTGATGGAAGATTTTCCGCGATGTCGTTTTTTATTTGTTTCACGTTTGCCATCGCGCGCGCAGTACTGTTATTAAACGTTTCGAGAATATGTTTCGGCAAGTTATAATACGAGCGGGCGCGGACAGCGGCAGATCGAAAACGTCATCCATCAATTCCGCCTCCGCCGAGGACTGCCGCTACGTTGACGGACGAACGGCAGGGAAGTAAAAAACGTGTGCATTACAGCAACACGAGAATGGCGGTGTGTTATTATTATTACTATTTCACTGCGTGTATATTATGTACGTATTAATATATTATGCAGCGTAAAGAAAATGTTTAAACAAAGACGATATTATACGGTATGAGGTGGTATAATAACAATTATTGCGATAAACGTACTTATATTTTCTTTACGTGGTCCGCAAGACCCTATTTATAAATATTATACGCGCGACGGCGATGACTATTATAGGTCTCGGCGACGGCGCATTGGGCGTGTTTAGAGATGCTTTGAAAAAAAAAACACGCGGAGAAAACTAAAACGGAAAAAAAACAAGAAAAAAAAAGTTAATAACTTCTTTTGCATAAATATTTAACGTAAAAATGACTGCGGCGTTCATATAATAGGCCTTCTCCGTACCCGCGTATAATCTCCGGAGACGTGTAAAACGTTTCTTTTTGCGCTCCCCGGACACGACGACGCATATACTATACATGTATATACATTAATACGTGTATATATTTTTTATCCACCCTTCGTTATTTCACCATCGTCCCTTATTTATGTGTGTTTGTGTGTATGCGTGTGTATCCATTGCGCGCCATAAGAAAATTGTTATAAATGATACGCGACGACCGGAGGAACTCTGCAGGCTGCTACCGCCACCACCGCCGGATATAAATTAGATCAGAGCGGTCCCGGAGATGGGTGCCGCGAACAAAAATAATAACCCAGAAAATATATACGATATCTTTTATATATACGTTTATACAATGTATATATAAATATGGTGCGAGAAAAAATACAAGAAAAGTTTTAGCGTTAAATTCAATTTAAGCACCCGCGCTCGTTCCCGGTCGTCGTTTTCTACTCTCGACCCGTGTCTTTGTGTGTACACCCATATAATAACGTAAGGAGATATCATATACGTATACTTTTGTGTCGTCATCACCGCCACCGCCACCGAGTACAAATAACACAACTTTCGTGTGTTTCATTGAAATTTACGACCTTCATCTTATTACTGCTGCCGACAACACGACTGCAAAGCAGCGAAGACAATGAGAAATTTTCAAGTACCACCACCACGTCGCGCGAGGTGCAAACACAATAATAACAAATTATTATTATATACGAAATAATATTTATGTCACGTGTCACATGGGTTTAGTGCGTGTTTTGTGATACTCGTTAAGTCACAAATCACCAGTTTGCTGCAATGTGCGTAACAATTATTATCATAGGAGAATTCACAAAGAGCTGCTGTCTCAAGTACCTATCACTCCGAAAAATTTTAATATATTACAGACGATTGCAAATCGGAGATAGTTCGTTGCATATATACAACATAGTAAAAACAACATTTAAAATGAATGACTTTTTAGTTGTTATTATTTATTTTTTAAAACGTCTTCATAGAAAATCTAAAGTAATTTTTTTTTATTTACCCTCTTATGCTCTAAGCAATGTAACTTTAGCTAAATCGGGTAAAGACCACTTAAACATTTTTAAGAACATATTTGAAACCTTAAAATCAAAATTATTTATATAGAAACATCTATATATATTTCATTAAATTATAAAAGAATATATTTGGTTTAAATGGGTCTGACGTGCCTAACGTAAACATTTGAAAACAATTTGTCGGTGTATCATATATATCACTGCGGCAAGGTAAATTATATTAAATTAAGAGACCTGTGGGTTTTAAAAATCGGAATAACCAAAACCGATTAAGTGATAGGCAGAGATACAGGTGACGTCATGTGTAGTGTGTATATTATTATAATAAAGACAACAGTCGTGTTTGAGTCATAAGATTCATATAGCTGCACACATCACCGTTATCATTTCTCTATTTTATGCGCATATAAATAGGTACTATATTAGTGCAATGTCCTGTTGACCCTTTTTGCCTGAATATTGTATTTATATATTATACGTTAGTCCGACGTAGATTACGATATGGTAATAATATTATTATTACGGCGCGGTAAAAGTAAAAAAAAATTAATAGAAAAATAACAATAATTATCGTCGCTCTCGAGATGATGATATTGCGCCACGCGAGTGCAGTGTATATTATTATTATTATCATTACTATTATATTGTATATATCATTGGGTCGTATATTATTGAACAAAACATAATTTCCGCCGCCGCCACCACCGCCCCATCGAACGATCGTGTGCGTCGGTTATACACCTCACATATTATATTATATCATTATATATACAATATACATATATATGCATATTGCAGAAAACGGTATATAAACGTATATAATATACAAGTCGTTATTTTAATAGCGCGACGCGCCGGACGGGAAGACGTCGTGGATATAAACAATAATGATATTATATACTACAGCACGAGCAGTGTGCTATTATTATTATTATTATTATTCTCTTACCTTTCTAGTTGTTTCATGAAGCCGGCATACGCTTTTTCCCATATACCCGAACTGTAAAACGAAAAAGAAACATATTAAAAACGTAGTGATAAATAATATTAATAAAATAAACCACTGTGTCATTACATGTATATATTATAGTAATTTATTAGCAGTACAATATAATATTTGTTTTGTGTATTATTTATACAGTTGGTTCTATGATGAACTTTGTTTTACTCCAGTAATTTATTGACAAATGAATTATACAATTTCGAATTCAAATATGTGATATTCTAAATTTCAATTTTTTCAAATATATTCAAAAATTTATACGATAAAATAGACAAATTAAAATGAATTCATTTATTTTAGAGACGTTAAAACATGTTGTTTTTTTTTGGTGTGTGAGTTCCCGCTGTTTAAATAAATGTTATTAATTTTTAATTAAGTTTCCAAGTCTAATTAATGCAAGTAAACGATTGGGTACACTATTATGAAAAAATCAATAATAAAGTAATAAGTAGTTTGATTAAGAAAAAGCATTTTATTAGTTTATTAGTTTATAGGTTACCTACTTATTTTTAAAATGCTCAACTTGAATTTTCTATTCATTTTATTAATAAATCGTAAAAAAAAAGATTAACTATACGTTAACATAAACATATATAATATATACAAATAAATGGGAGAAAGAAACAACAATATTGTCTTTAAACAAGATTTCAGGTCAATGGAGTTATTCCGGGAGGTTTTTTAGTAAGTGGCAATCAGGGGGATGGCTGGGGTACCAGCAGACACTCACCTGGCCAACGCTTCCATGGAGAGTCCTTGGCTCTTAAGTAGCTGCGCATCGGGACGAGGTAACGCGGGGTGCGACAGACCGGCCGGGTTCATGATGGCGTGCGCGGCTGCTGGATGATGGTGGTGATGATTGAACTGCTGCATGTACTGCATGTGTCCAAGGTGTGTGGGCGGGTGATTGTATCCGTTTGCCAGCAGTGGCGATTTTTCCATACGGGGCGAATCTGCAAAGGTATATTCATATTAAAATTTTATTACACAGTCATAAAGAGCAGGTGCAGATAGTAAGTGAATGTAACAAAATATAATATTGTGTGTATTTACTATTTGATTTTACTGCGTTTATCGCGAGGTTGATGCTCATGGCGGGTAATTGGGAGTAGAAAACTGCTCGTGAGCTTACTTAGCTTACGATTTTATATTGATTATATAAAACTAATGTTACTAAGATTTAAGATTTCCAAGGGGAAAAGCTTGAAATAATATACAACGCTGCGATTATATATGAATAGATCTTATAAGTGAAGTTCTTAATTCGTTGTTTGACTCTACACAGAACACGTCGAAGGGAAACTATCAATAATATTATAGAAGAGTAGTAATAAAAATAATAATATATATAGTATATCAGTATATAACTATTTATTTGTGTCAATATATTAATACGTTGTTTAGTTATCGGTCCAAAGACGCAAGATCTACAGGTTCACCTGAGTGTTATAACTTATTAAGTTTAAACATACTGCGTGACCGTGCGGTAAAAAAAACGTCCAGAACAAAACATAACAAAAATATTATATATGTATATATAATTATTGAAATGGACTTGCAGGTCGCCACTTATAATTATTAATGGACATTCCTAATGGTATTCGGTCAGAGTACCTACCAATACGTACAGAACTCGTTACGAAGTCTCTGCGGTGCGTGTGTGTGTGACTGATGGGTTTTGTCTTTACGGACCGACGTAGAATATATAATATACGCAAGCGCGAGTACCCGAAATATATAATAATAATAAATAAACAACTGGTAAACGGTAATAATGATTATTGGTCTCGCAATGTGTACCTATACAATAATAATATTTTGTTATAGATGTTGATTGGCCTTTCTCAGCGGGGTCCCTCGTCGGCCGACTCTCATAATCATACTAATAATACACACACACACACACACACACATTCAATTACCCGCAGGACTTTGACTAATAAGACTCGGCTTTTCGCCGAAGCTACTTGAATGACGACGCCGCCACCGCCGACACACGACGATTGCGCGCGTGATTTATACGCTCGCGCCGGCGACCGTTTCCCGTCGACGTAATAACCGCCGCTATTTGTCATATATTATTATTACTATTACCGTTCTGCTTTGTATATATTTACAAATCTTGTTTGTACACGCGCGTGTCGATCGTCGGCTGCAGTTTGTGTTAATGTACTTATATATTATATACATACACAATATTATATTATGTATACAGACACACGGTACAATCTGTAGTAGTGTATCTCTAAACATGCATATAACAATACACAGTTTCAGTGCACCGCACCCGCTGCAGTTAATCGCTTTCACCGGGAGAATATTATTGTTATTATCATTATTATTATTATTACGTAATGACATGTTCACGCGTTGATTCGAATTTACCCGGTCACCCTTATGTATATTATACTACACCCACGCAATCGTCTGCCACGCAAATAATTTACTATAGAGAATTATATTATAGTAGTTTTGAACAATAACAGAACTTGAAAATAAACGGTACAATACAATATTATAATTGATAAAATCGTAAATTTTTTATTAAAAAACATGCGTAGGTAGGTATATGTCTGACTACTTATGATAACTGATACTATAGTATTATATTATTAGAGTTAGTGTGTTAAGTGCGGACGACGGATACACTGATACACAACATTTAACTTTGTGTTATATATCCTAAATCCTTTAATGTATATTAAAATCCTTCATGGGATCAATGCATATTAGTTATTATATTTTCGATTCACTATCGTGAAATCGCAAAATTTTTAAAATTCTTTTACAGCTGGTTATTTTAGTATAAAATAAATATTCATTTAATTTCTTGCTATATATAGAAGTTTGACACTTTTTTTCATTTAATTTTATTATAAAATCTCACTTCCGATACCGGAAAATGTTAATTCGATTTGAATTATAGTCTTACTTGTATATACACGTGTGCACGTGAAAAAAAATTATTAAACGAGTCCCTTGGTGTGTTTGTTATCGTATAAAGACAACATGTAAATTGGATAACGCTATTTTCCATTAAAAAGTGTTTTTGTTTCGGAATAATTTCCATTAATAAAACGGTAAACGTATCAAATACCTATACATGTATAAAAAAAAAGGGGGAGGAGGTGAGTCGTTGAGTCGAAAATGCAGATGCTACGCATTTTACTTGTGCACGTATAATCTACCGTTCACCGCTGTAACACGGGATAAGAATATATAATGTAATAATTGATTATCGTAAAAACAAACGACAGATTATATGCGACGTATAATTTATCAAAAGCTTGAATTAGAGAGAGAAAAAGGAACCAGTGTATGCTATTTTTGGATGGAGTTTGGCGGATTTTGAGAGATGAATGAATGAGATGGTGGTGAATGGTTGGGAGGAAAAGGGCGTATAAAATATGTATATGTAAAACGTGTATGATTATTTATATATATATACACCAGTGTCAGTGGGTGGTATACGGAAACTCGGGTCGCGGCGGCCATTTGAAGTGTGAAAACCTTTTCGGACGGTAATTATAATTCGGTGGCGACGGTACAGCACCGACGACGTAGAGATGGAAGCAAAAAAAAAAGAAAACAAAAAAGACCTTAGGTTTAAATTAGCCGTTTTGGATGCTGGCGCTAATGATAAAGCACAGGGGTGGCTACAGTGTAAAGCGGCCATACCCGGGTGCAATCCATCATCATCGCCGGAGTCGTCACTGTAGTCGTAGTCTCCGCCACCACCCTAGGGGGAGGTGGTGACCCGCAGGGACGGGATGGAAATTAAGACCGGGCGAGTGTGCGTGTGCGAGTGTGTGTTTGTTTGTCTTGGAACCGAAAAGAAACAATATATGCTAAAATTAAAATCCTTCCCGCCACGGGTTTCGGAATATATATAACAATAAAAAAATATAACCACGTACACAATATACGTACGTAGGGACCGACGTGAAAGCGCGCGTGTGTGTGTGTATGTGTACACTGCTGACAGTCGAAGAGAGTGAGAGAACGGACTCGTGCACGCGGGATGATTGATTACACTCTATATAGCTCTGTGCGTGTGTATAACCGTTTCTTGGCTTTAAGTGACGGTGGCAGTACTGCAGGGATCCCTTTATGCACACACACACACACACACACACACACACACACACACACACACGCATATATATAAACTCGTACGATATATATTGTATAATATATTATGTATACATTTCGACTCGTTTAAATTGAAATTAATTTGCACTCTCTTTTTCTGTACACCACGCCGCTGCAGCAGCAGCCACTGTCGAATATTAGCATACGATATATACCGTCGAGAGAGAAAAAAATCGTCCCGAGGTCAGGGGAAGTTTATATTTTTTTTTTACCTCTCCACTCTATCATCACGTCGCCGTTACGCGGTTATGGGCCAGGAAGACGACGACGACCACTGACAGTGAATCATGACTCGCCGATGAGTAGCATCTGCGATTGAAACGTAAAAACGAAGGTTCAATTTCACAGATGAAAGCTTCGCGTCTTTTTATGCACGGGTAAACGATGATTTATACACAAGCCCGTCTAGTCTGAAAGGGTTTGTGTGGTTTTTATTTATTTTTTTTTACAACGAAATCGCTACAAAATACCGTATATTATTATACGACGTTCCTGCGAAACGCACAAAAACTTAAGTTGCGGTGGTGATAATGCACTTCATAATTTTTAATAAAAACGATATTATTCTGTTTCTGCAGCATATAAAACGTTCACTTTCGTACATCAAATTATAAACTTTCAACTAAACAGTCACCACCGGGGAGAGTATAATATACCGAACATTAAAATAAAATTACAAATAATATTACACACTAATATAATATACACATAATTCTCTCGACTCTAGTGAAATATTATTTATTGTGATTAACGGTAAACCGTTATAATATAACTTATAAGTACGAACTCTCCATCTTACGACCACCTGCCCGACGTACCTATATATAAATATATATATACATACTTGTTATGTACTTCAAACATCCCGTATTTATAGATAAGTACGTGTAAAAACTGTGTAATATATGAACTGGTAGTAGTGCTAGTACCTATCCCTTATAATCCGCGGACAAACGATCCACCGACTATATACATTATACAGAGATCCACCATATTTCTCACACGCGTGTATTTTATATACATTTATAACCGTGCTTATTATATACGCCGTATAAATTCATATATATTATAAGCAAAATGTCTTTGGTCCATAGTTTCTGCTTGAGATCACACTAACGTATAATATATATATATATATGTAATATGTGTATATCAATTATATAATGTATATGTATTATTACTACGTATGTACACCACGGTGAAACTATAATCCTATATATGATGACGTATAACAATATATAGATCGACCCGGCAACCAAACACATACGATGTAAACTGAGCGAATCCCACGGGGAGAACGATCTATACGGATTTTCATTTTTATTTTTTGGTTGTTATTTATTGTCTTTAGCGATCGTCTGTTAAAAATTGCCGATGTTTCGCACGGTCGTCGTCGATTCTTCACACCGCAGCCGTGCACGTGTCGCATCGATCAAATGCATAATTAAAAAAACGAGCCACATCAAAAGACCAAATACACACCGCGTCACTTCTGAAACGAACCGTTCGATCATTTTGAATTTCACGGAGAGGTTCGCGCCGGCTCGAGAGGCAGAAGGGGCATTTTTGACAAATGCGGTCCGGGGATTAGGCATAAAATATTCAACGGCACGGACGGTGACGATGAAACGCCGCCACCTCACAACAAAATCATATAATATACATATACATATTATATAAACCATCGCTGCGCGTTTTCCAGAACCGCTGTTGTATATTGTAACAGCGGCAGCAAGAAAAGCCCTGTGTGCAATAATAATAATAATAATCATCATGATAATAATGAAGTAATAGTAATAAA